CAGAGAGACCCCCCCGCCTCTGCCTCCCGAGTGCTGTGATTAAAGGCGTGCGCCACCAACGCCTGGCAGGAAAGAAGAATTTTAACATAAACCAGATTGTATAGTTAAGGCACAGTAGGGCACACTTGTCATGTTTTATGTCACAGTGGAGAACTGTTCATCATTAAAATTCTCTTGATTTGAGGTAAGGACCAACCTTGCATACCATGGCTTTCTAAGAGTAGCAGTTTCAGGCCTGCTATGTTAACTTTATGTCTATACATTGATTTATTCATTTGAATAGTAGGTACTATGGCAAACCAAATGTTTACTGACAAATCTGTTGCTCCTGATTTACTTCTTGTTTTTGAAAAAAAAAAATTGAGACAGGGTTTTTCTGTATAGCCTGGCTCTGTAGAGCAGTCTGGCCTCAGAATCTGCCTGACTCTGCCTACTGAATACTGGTGCCTGGCTGCTACTGATTTGTTAGGAAACGCCCATGACCTCCTGGCTAAGATGGTAGAAGGGCATGCTGTGTGCCCTATTCTTATAATTGTAGCACTTAGATGTATATAGGAGAAGACCTGTCATAAAGCTGGGGAATGACATAAGAGTAGAGTGCTTCTTTACCATGTGCAAGGCCCTGTTGATCCTCAACACTAGTGGGGAGGACAGAAAGGACATTTCTTGCTAGGTGGTATGGTGTCTTATAGTCTCAGTGCTTAGAACATTAGGGCAGGATGATTGTGACTCCTTTGGCCAACTGTAGTGACAGCTTGCCCTTAAAAAAACAAACCAAAGGTACGTGGAGATGCTTATTAGAGAAGCCAGGCACAGGCTTCCAGGTGCTCTTTGTATGACAATGAGTGATGGAGGCAAGTACAGGATGAACTCACATGGAAGTATCCTGAAAGTAGCAAGGTAGCTGAATTAAAAGTCAGCAAATAAAAATCAAGTGCATTTTTCAGTTGGGCATGGTGGAGCACGCCTTTAATGTCAGCACTTTGGAGGCAGAGGCAAGCAGATCTCTGAGTTCGAGGCTACCCTGGTCTACAGAGCAAGTTCTAGAACAGCCAAGACTACACAGAGAAACCCTTTCTCAAAACAGAAAGAAAAAAAGGAAAGGAAAAGAAAAAAGAATAATCAAAGTGCATTTCTATAAACTAGTAACAAAATTACATCAGTCAGATAGAAGAAATTATTTAAAAATATTTAAAGGTGACTTGCAACAAAATAATGAGATTTATTGAACACTGTTAATACAGAGGCCTAAATAAATGGAGTGTTAGGACTTTAGTGGATTCAAAGAGTCATAAAGATAACAGTTCTCTTATTATTCATAGATTTACTTTAATTTGAATTGCAATGGCTTTTGGAATAGAGTTTTAAAAGTCAATCTGAAATTTCTAAGGAAAACCAATGAGACACAGTAGCCAAGGCACTCCTGAAAAAATAGGGAAGGGGATGAGCATGGATGCATGCCTTTAATCTTTTCCCTCAGGAGACAGAGGCAGGTGGATCTCTCTGAGTTTGAGGCCAGCCTGATCTACATAGCAGGTTCTAGGATAGCCAGGACTACATAGATCCTGTCTTTAAAAAAAAAAAAAAAAAGCTGGGCAGTGGTGGTTTATGCCTTTAATCCCAGCACTCAGGAGGCAGAGGCAGGCAGATCTCTGAGTTCAAGGCCAGCCTAGTCTACAAAGTGAGTTCCAAGACAGCTACAGCAGTTACATAGAGAAACCCTGTCTTGAAAAACCAAACCACAATCAAAGAAATAAAGGTGACAATCAAGATGACTTAGTGGGTAAAGGCACTTGCTCCTAAGCCTGATAACCTGAGTTCAACTCCTATCTCTTGCCTGGGGTCCTCAAAATAACATTTTATTTTCTGAATGTAGAACCCTTCCACGTGGTAGAAAAAGAAAACTGACTCCAGCAAGTTGTTCTCTGACTTTGATACATCTCCCACATACATACACAAAATAAAAATGTAATATATTTTTTAATAGTTGAAGGTGAGAAGACTTGTTTTACCATATACCAAGAATAAGCTAGTAATATAATTTAGATAGCAATTTTAGATATGAAGAGACAGGTCATTGGAGCAGAGCATAGAGACTCATAAACTTGACTTACAACACAATGAGTATTGCATGCCTTTAGGAAAAGATGACCTGTTTAAGTAGGTCTGAGACAATTTATCCTTTTGAAAGACAATGACATTGGTCCCCTGCTTAAACAGGAAAGGCAACATCTTTTAAGTCTGATTTAAAAACATTATTAGCAGTGATTTACAGGTAGCAGTATTTCTTAAGACTTGGGAAACTTAAATCATAAAAAGATAATCTTTATTAAAAAATAAGCTGTGAACTAGAAACAAAAGTACATGTAAGGCTTATTACTGACACCACACTATATGAAGAATTACACACATACACACACACACACAAAGACAAAACAAACTACCTAATAGAGTTTTGGGCCAGATTTCAGTAGGTACATGAGAAAAGTAATGGAATGACCATCAGTAATGGCAGACAGTAGAATACCAAATACAAAGTAGGGTGTGGTGGTGCATAGGTGAGGTCATGGAAGCTGGGAAATGAGGCAGGAGGATCTTGAGTTGAAGGCTAGTCTGGATGAAATGGTGATAGCCTATTTCAACAAAGACACCAGGTATGCAACAGCAAAAGATAGTGACTATTCACCAAGGTTGTCAAAAATAAAAACTCCTGACAAGAGTATGCTAACGGTAAATACATCAAACTAATGATTTCTAATCATAATGAAAGTATGTGTCTCTTCTGACTGTGAATTCTCTGGTGGACTTGGAAGCGAAGAAGAGTTTTCACATTTTTAAGTGGTTGGAAAAAAAGTAAAAATGATTTGTAATGTGAAATTCAGTTTCAATGTCCATAAGTAAATGGTTGGAATACTGCTGTATTTTGTTTATGGCTGCATTCTTCTTACAACACAGTTTACTAATCACTGCCCTACGTAAATTCTATCGTACCTGTGTTGAGATATGATTTCCACATAATGCTTAAAATAACAGAAGCCTTTATTAAATTATGGTGTTTGGATCTGTCCTGAATGACTAAAAAGATACTTAGCCATTGATAGTGAACTATAACTGGGACAGTAGTTTCTAGCAGTCTTGGAATTTTACTTTTCTGTGTTTGAAGAATTCTTTATATTTGGCATATATCATTTTATAAATAGAAATATAAAATTTTAAGGTACTGTTAAAAGCCAAATCAGTTTATCACCTTTAGAAACTGACACACTAGTAACTTACACTCAACATTTCATGCCCCATATAGACACGGGAGCCAGTAAGCTTTGTTAAGAGTTTTAGCTAGTATTCCAAGTTATGTTTGTTCTCCTGACCTCTAAACTTGGGACAATAACTGGGAGAAATACTTCAGTGATCACAACGTGATTTTTAAATTATGAGTAGTATTTCACTGTATATACGTGTAGCTCATATTCACATCCTTAGTTGGAAATCTCAAATGTTCTCAAATCTGGAACATTGAATGCACATGAAAAACACTTCAAATGTTTTAGATTTGGGGACATTTCAGATTTTGGATTGTGGAGTTTAACAGATTAAGTCTGTGCATATAGTGCAAAATCTGAAGAACTCCAAAATCTGAGCAGTTCTTATCCCAAGTATTTTGTATAAAGGATGGCCAAAGGTACTAACATGAAATTGAACACAGGTTGTTTTGTAGACATGTTTTCCTTTCTCCTAAGATGTCTGAATGTGCTAAGACAATTTTTTTTTTAAAGGTATAAATGAACTGACAGCAGTATATAGTAGAGTAATGGTCATTTGATTTTAAAGAATGGGTCTGGGGATGTAGCTTATTTGATGAAAGGCTTGCCTAGGTACATGAGATACTATGTTCGATTCCTGGCTCCACATAAACCTATTATTGTGGCACACACCTATAATCCCAGCCCTGGTAAAGGTAGGAGGAGCAGAAGTTTAAGGTCATCCTTGGCTACCTAGGAGTTTTAGGTCCTCTTGATCTACATGAGATCCTGACTTTATTTGTTTGTTTGTTTAAATCCCCTGCATTAGCAGTCAGACTCTGTGCCAGGTAGTCTACCATGCGAAATGACTCAAATATAAATTACATGCCTACTTTTGTGGTGAGAGCCATTGTGTTGTAACACTGTGTTCTATAATCCTTTCATATTTTCCCATATTTATTAGTAACTACTCACTGCATGTGACACAATCAAATGTCATATTGAATAGTCATGATTTTGAGGCAGAAAAAGTCAGCAAATACACTTGTTCACTCTCACCTTGCAGAGAATGCTGTCTGATGAAAGAACATATATAGGAGATCGAAATCCCTGGAGATGTGAGCAGAAATAATAATTCCTTATGCTTACAAGTATCACTGAATACTTAAATTTTCAGGTGATTTTTCTGGCTGTTGTCTTGTAAAGAACTACTCCAAGTAGTTGATAGATGGACTCACCTGTCCTGACTGTTGAAATAATCCATTTTTGCAGGACACCCTGTGTGAAGCTGGTGTATCACCTGTCAGCCTGCTTCTTCAGGTCATCTGCTTACACAGCTTTCAGCACGGGGCACATGTTCAAGATGTTTCCACTGTGTTTGTGGTGGATTACGTTTGGTCTGCTTCTCTCCTGGTCAGCAGTCACACAGGCCTTTGAACCTTTGTGTTAGCTGCTCAGTGACATGATTCTCAGGCTGCTCCAGAGCTCTTCAAGATAAGCGTATACTTGTTAGAAACAATTTTAGTTAGAGTATCCCAAATGATTATTCAGAGTTGTGAATGAGTTCTTCCCAAGACTTAATAATGATGATATGAGTGTCATGGGATGTAGAAGAGTGGGAAATAGAAACTAAAATATTAGCAACATCAGAGCTAAGGCTAGGTCCTAGGTCTTAGAATTTCTTCTCTTCCCTGCTGTGTGTTCTATCAATGTTTTCTGGGTGAGTATGGACTGAAGTTTCTACATAGGATTTGGTGGGGGAAAGGAGGACAGGAATTAGCCTGAAAAACTGCAGTACGGACAGTAGGGAGAACTCAGTAGTCAGACTGGGATCATTGGCTGCTGAAGATCTTGTACTAATTAATAGTTTGGCTTTTCCTTAAAATTCAGTAGAGCAGTAGAACAGAAAAGGGGTTAAGACCCGTGTTTTGATGAGACTGAAATAGTAGCTTACTGCTATTTTAATTTACTTACCTAGTTACAGGAAGATAAGTACATTTTTACACACTTAACTATTTATATTTCTCTTTTGTTTATATCCTTTGCTCATGTTTCTGTTGGATATTGCTTTGTTAGAGTTACTTATATAGTAATGGAATTTCTTGTTAATGAAATTAATTCATATCTGTTAATGTTTATAATGTTAAATTAATTATATAATCTATTTCCTGGGTATCAAATTTGAGATAGTCTTTTTTTTTTTCTCGTTTTATAGGATATGACCGTGATTTCTGATGAAACCAGATTGGAATAATTTTCATGATATTTGTATATTTATATATGTATATTTTAAAATTTTACATTTGACTTAAAGTGCCATGAGAAAATTTGCATATTGCAAGGT